GGGGGGGGGGGGGGGGGGGGTGGCTGGTGCCACCAGTCTACTGTTATCTAAGCAAAGGAACGTCCGGGAGGGGCTTATGGCTTAACATTCACACACTGCTAGCAGCAGTTGTGGAAGCAATCAGTTATTTTCTGAGACAAAAATTAAACTTAACAAAGTTCTAAGTACAAACACTGCAAACAAATACAGTGAACGTGGGGTAGGAATTCATAGAGTAATAGTTCTCTTAGAGTTTTTTGAATCTCTTGGGTCTCTCAAGAGTTAAATTTGTTAGAAAGTTTGTAATATATATTAGTTAATTTGGGATATAAGTTTTGTTTTAAGTGGAGTTGTTTGATGAGAAACTTTATAATTTTATAATTTTAAGATTTTATATTAACGGGTTGCAGGAACTGTTTTTTGCAGGGTAACATCATTGTGTTGGGATTATGTTGTTTTGGGTGGAAATAGTCTCCGCCCTTAGAGAGAACATTAGCCAAGCACAGAGTAGAATACTTAAACTTAAGCATCGTTTTAACATCACAAAAAAACCATGTAATTTGTTGTAAGTGAGTTGTTTTGTAATGATGATTTTGACTTGCTCTGTGGCAGCAACTTGCAGAGATTATTTCCCTTGTAGAGAGAAATATAAGCTTGCTACTACTCGCAATAAAATGGCATCTGTACCCTTTTAACAGGTGTCCAGTCTCTCTCTCTCTCTCTCTCTCTCTCTCTCTCTCTCTCTCTCTCTCTCTCTCTCTCTCTCTCTCTCTCTCTCTCTCTCTCTCTCTCTCTCTCTCTTTCTCACAATTGCCTACGTTGTCTCCACCTCTGCAGGAGCTGGTCTCCGGCATCACCTTACACATTGGGGTCCAAACTGGGCCACTCAAGAGAGAAAGAAACGTTTGGGGGTTTTTTTGAGTCTGGGTCTCACTCTGTCGCCCAGGCTGGAGTGCAGTGGTGCAATCACAGCTCACCGCAGCCTTGACCTCCTGGGCTCAAGCGATCCTCCCACCTCAGTCTCCTGAGTAGCTGGGACTACAGGCATGCACCACCACACTCAGTTAAATTTTCCTCTTTTTTGTAGAGACAGAGTCTCCCTTTTTGCCCAGGCTGCTCACAAACCTCTGGGCTCAGGCAATCCTCTCCCCTGGGTCTCCCAAAGTGCTGGGATTACAGGTGTGAGCCACTGCGCCCTACTAAGAGGCTGTGCTAATAATGACCCCAAGACAACAGGCCTGCACTGTTGTCACCATCCTGGTCACCTGAGTTATACGAAACTCAAATAATACACAAAGGATGGAAATGTTTCTAATCCACAATCCACACCTGAAACCTCACGCCCTTCCCTACAGTTACTGCCATTAACAGTTTGTAGCGTTTCTTCCAAATCTTTTTTCTAAGCATTGTCTTCTCTTTCTAATCAGAAGAAGCAAAAAGGAATCAAGTTATTTGCCAAAACAGAAACTCAAGCTCCTCTCTGCCCTCCACCCCAGAGGGGTCCAGGCCCTTGTCCTCTGGTCTTGGCCCCCAGAGCCATCCAGCTGGGTGACCTCTGGCCTTTGTTTTCTTTTTTTTAACCCTTTGAGTCTGGTGCCATGGCCCAGCCTCCACCTCTTGGTTCTTCCCACCTCTCTCCAGAAATCTCCCTCATCCATCCAAATCATGACATCAAATTTCCCTCCTGGCCTCAGGGATTAGGGAGGTTCCGGGGAGATATAAACACAACTTGGAAACTGACTGCAAGGAGGAAGCCGGGCTTGGACTCTGACTCAGACACCACCCTTTCTCACTGAGGCCTGGCCGCCGCTGGAGCTCAGATCTCCGAAAGCCTTTGCTTGGGCTTGCCCCAGACAGGGTCACTGTTCCCACAGCTTTGCCATCCCCCACTCGCCCCAAGGAGAGTACCCTGACAGCCTACCTCCCTGAGCTGCACCCAGCCTGGGTCTCCTCCTCCAAGCAGGCCTCCCATTCCTTTCCCTCCCAGAATGCTTGTCAAGCCTTTTCCCTCCTTAGCCCCAATGGTCTTGCTTTGTCTCCTGATTCTAGGATTTTTTGTTTTAAAGACAGTGTTTTTCCCTGTTGCCCAGGCCGGAGTGCAGTGGTGTGATCATCACTTACTACAGCCTCTACCTCCTGGACTTAGCAATCTTCCCATCTCAGCCTCCCAAGTAGCTGGGACTACAGGCATGCAACACCACACCTAGCTAATTTTTTATTTTTTGTAGAAATGAAGTCTCGCTATGTTGTCCAGGCTGGTCTTGAACTCCTGGCCTCTAGTGATCATCCCACCTTGGCCTTCCAAAGTGCTGGAACCTCAGCCATGTACCACCATGCCCAGCTAGTTTTTTTATTTTTTGTAGAGATGAAGTCACTATGTTGCCCGGGCTGGTCATGAACTCGTCTCCCAGGCACTGGGATTATAGGTGCGAACCACCACACCTGGCCCCTGGGGTATTCGAAGCCCACCTCCCAAGGTACTGGGATTATAGGTGTGAACCACCACACCTGGCCCCTGGGGTATTCTGAAGCCCACCTTCTTCTCCATTCCCTTCTCAGTCCTGAACTACCCAGCTGAGAAGAGACGGCTCACTTAATAAAGGTCAATGGTAGCACTTTATGCTTGTAGCACTATGATTTTCACTCACATCTCAATAAACTCATAAAGTGGATATTAACAAGCCCCATTTCACAGATGAGGAAACTGAGTGTCAGAGAGATGAAGGAACCAGCCCGAGGTCACCGCTCAAAGTCTGCCCTTGACCTCTGAGCTGGGACACAGCCCAGGTCTGATGGATACAAAGCCCAGGCTCTCAACCGTTGCATGTCTGAGTTGCCCTAGGTGCTCGGGGACAAACTGGCAGCTGTCCCTGCCAGAGCCGCACCCATCTCTTCCATCTTCTAGCCGGGGGTGAATCCCAAAACAGCCAAATCCCAGACTCGACTGCCCTGCCCTGCCCTGGACCCGCCCAGAAAATGGACTCAGTGGGCGTGTGTGGCCATCCCTCTCCCTAACCTGAGGTCCCCAAATAAGGCAGGATTCCAGAACCCATTTGGGCACAGGTGGCAGGGGCGGGGGAGCACTGGGTATTTATTCCACACACGACCAAGCCACAGCCATGCAGCCTCCCAGGACCCCACGAGGAAGGCTCTGTTTTCTCCCTCCCACTTCACGGGTGAGGAAAGCAAGGCTCAGCCCCCTAAGAGCCAGACCTGCGCGTGGTCTGGGACTCTTGACCAACAAACGCCAGCCTGGAAGGTGGCACCCCCTGCAGGCTGGCCCACAAACAGAGGCGCTTGTTTCCAGGGCAGCGGAGGCTGCCTTTCTTTCTGTGCCCACAACGCCACCAGGAAGCCAGCTCCCCGCTCAACAGCAGGAAGAGGGCACAGTGCCACTGGCTTCCAAACTCTGCCAGCCTGGCCAGGCAGCCTGGACCACAGCTGCCACCCAGATGGGCAGGAAATTTCTCTTCCCACCACCGCTGCCAGGCTGCACGCCCCGGACCCACAGGTGCCGGGCCGTGGTCCATCCCTGCCCTGACCTGAAGGCCGGAGGTCACCAGCAGCCCAGGAACTCTGCCCCGGGGGTGCCAGCCACCTCCTCCAGGGAAATGGCTCAGAGGTCAAGGGCAGACCAGCAAAGAACATCAACCTGGAGCCCAGAGAAATAAGGCTTTGTTGAAAAGAAATCGGATGAGGAATGACGGACGAGAGTGCTCGCCACAGTGCCAGGTGCGGCTCTCCACGGAGAAGCCCTCGGCTCACCCAGTACCTCTGGCTGATAACAATGAGAGTGGCTATATCAGAGCCCTGCCCCACCATCTTTAGGGGGTCTCACTCTGTTGCCCAGGCGGGAGTGCAGTGGCATGATCCGACTCACCACAGTCTCCATCTCCTGGGCTCAGGTGATCCTCCCATCTCAGCCTCCCAAGTAGCTGGGACAACAGGCACATGTCACCACATCTGGCTAATTTTCTTAACTTTTTGTAGAATCAAGATCTTACTATGTTTCCCAGGCTGATCTCGAACTCCTGGGCTCAAGCGATCCTCCCACCTCAGCCTCCCACAGTGTTGAGATTATAGGCGTAAGCCACCATGCCTGGCCTGGCTTCAGTTTAGACATCACCTTCTCCAAGAAGCCCGCCCAGTCCCAGTGTTGGATTAGCCTCCTTCTCTAGGCCCCCGAGGATGCCTTCTAGACCGCCAGTGGCCCAGGAGTGCTAACTGCCTGTCTTCTCTTCCCTCTGCTTGACCCCGTGAGCAGCACAAAGGCAGATGTCGTGTCACGCCTGCCATTGTGTTCCCAGACCAGGGTCTGGCTCACAGGCACCTGGTGACCTCACGTGGGAGAAATGAATGGTGGAGCAAATGAATGACGGCCTGGGATCCAAGCCCTGAGACAGCACTACACCCCCAGGCCAGACCCTCCTCCCCAGGCCTGCTCCAGCCATGACCCTGCCCCCACTCTGGGGAGCCCCTGGGCCACTCCACCCGGCCACAGCCCAGGCCCAGCCTGACCAAATCAGTCCAGACAAGCACATTCTCGATTCTCTGTGCTTCCCCAGAAGTCCCAGCACCTGTCTCTCCCACCGTGGCCATGGCAAACACTCAGTGCCCCCTGTGTCCCGGCTCTGTATGCCAAGGCGCTGTGCTCACGGCTTCCAAGCAAAGTCTCAGCGCCCAGAACCCAGGTTTGAAATGGTGACATCATGGAAATCCCAGCCAAGGCCACGTGCTGGCCACTGAAGAATGCAGACCCCTGCCTGTGTCAAGGGGCTAGACGCCCCTTCGTTTATTAAGCAGCCATAAGGGCCCCACTCTGCGCCTGATTATCTGCCTGATATCACTGAATCATCACAGCAGCCCGTGAGAGAAGGAGTATGGGCAGCCCCATTTTAGAGATAGAAAAACTGAGCTTCCATGGCCTGCCTTTTTCTTTTTTTAGAGGTAAGGTCTTGCTATGTTGCCCAGGCTGGTCTCCTGGCCTCAAGCAATCCTCCCACCTTGGCCTCCGAAAGTGATGGGGTTATAGGCATGAACCACTGTGACCAGCCTGAGTCCCCACGACCTGGCCAAAGTACACAGGCGGTAAGTGATAGAGGCGGGCCTGGAACTCAGATCTCAGCAGTGAGTAGAGGCCTCATTTCAAGCTTGAACCAAAGTGTCTCTGCAGTGGGCAGCCTCCAAGGTGGCCTGGTGATCTCTGCCCCCTGGGAGTCATCCCTTGTGTAATCCCTCCCCCAACACCGCACCGGGATTGGGCTGTGTGACCAGTGGTAGAATACAGCAGTAGGAGCAGATTCCTCCAGCCCCAATCCAACCCTCAGATTACAGCAACCCCAGCCAACAAACGGATTACAATCTCATGATGGAGCCTGAGCCAGAATCACCCAGCCAAGCCACTCCCAGATTCCTGACCCTCAGACAGTGAGATAATAAATACTCCTTATTTAAGCCACAAAGTTTTGGGACAACTTGTTACCCAGCAAAAGCTAACATGCGCACCTCCCCTACCACCCAACATCCCTGATTCCCAGGTGCTCAGAAGCCACACGGTACAAGTCCACACTGGCAGGTGAGTTGGGTGGCTCATGCCTATCATCCCAGCACTTTGGGAGGCTGAGGCAGGAGAATCGCTTGAACCCAGGAGTTTGAGACCAGCCTGGGCAACATAGCAAGACCCCATCCATAAAAAGAAAAGGATTAAAAATCCGCATTGGCAAGTCTGTGTTGCAGAGTTCTCCTCTCCTTGTTCAGATGCAGGGCAGAGGCCTGGGAAGGGGGTAGGGGTGGCGGAGTGGGGAACAGGGTGTACACTCACGTCCCGCTGCTAGCTGGATCTCCACAGAGGCATTGCCCAACTCATTGACAGCTCGGCAGGTGTAGATGCCAGCATCCCTCTCTTGCACCACCGGGATCCGCGGCATCCCAGAGCCGGATTCCTCAGGGGCCAGGATCATCTCAAGACCCCCTGGACCAAAGAGGAAAAAGCATCGGACCTGTGCCCTTGGGAACACAGAGGGTATGGGGCTGCTCAAGCCTGATGCAGGGCCTGCAGCTCCACAGGGTGGAGTCAGGGTTCTGGGGTCCAGCCCTGCAGGGGGCTTGGGTCTTCCCTGAGCCCCTCTGTCAGCCAGGGGTGGGGCTCGGGCAGCCCCCTACGTGACAGCTCCTTGCCAAGAACCCCAGGCCTGGGCCCCCTACTGGACCCCATCCCTCAACCTGGGTGCGGAGTGAGATTTGGACCAGCTCTGGGAGGGGCCCAGAAGGCTCTGAAGTGACCACCCCCACCCCTGCCCACCTCTCTGAGGCCTCACCCCAGGCCCCTGTGGCCTAACAGACACTCCTGATTCTGAACTTCCCCTCTTAATTTTGTGTGTGTGTGTTTCTTGAGTTGGAGTCTCACTGTCACCCAGGTGCAGTGCGCAGCCTCGACCTGCTGGGCTCAGGTGATCCTTCCACCTCAGCCTTCCAAGTAGCTGGAACTACAGGAACAAGCCACCATGCCCAGATAATTTTTCTGATTTATTGTAGAGACGAGGTCTCAGCAAGTTGCCCAGGCTGGTCACGAACCCCTGGTCTCAGACAATCCTCTTGCCTCCACCTCCCAAAGTGCTGGGATTATAGGCGTGAGCCATCGCGTTCAGCCCTCTCTTAAATTTAACTTAATTTTAATTGTATGGTATTGTGGTAAAATACACATCACATAAAATTTTCCACTTTCACCATTTTTTTTTTTGAGTCAGGGTCTCACTCACCCGGGCTGGAGTACAGTGGCATAATCATGGCTCACCACAGCCTCCACCTCTTGGGCTCAGGCAGTCCTTCTGTCTCAGCTTTCCAAGTAGCTGGGACTACAGGTGGGCACCTCATGCTTGGATAGTATTTTAAAAATTTTTTGTAGAGACAAAGTCTCACTATGCTGCTCAGGCTGGTTTCAAACTCCTAGGCTCAAGTGATCCTCCCGCCTCAGACTCCCAGTACTGGGATTACAGGTGTGAGCCACCGTGCCTGGCCTCGCCATTTCTGAGCATACAGCTCTGTGACATTAAGTCCATCCACACTGTTGTGCAACCATCACCACCATCCATCCACAGAACTCTCCATGTTGCAAAACTGAAACTGTGCCCATTCGACACGAACTTCTGGCAAACACCATCCTCCTTCTTATCTCTATAAATCTGACTGCTCTGAGGACCTCATATAAGTGGAATCATTCAGTGTTTGTCCTTTTGTGTTGTTAAACCCAAGATTTTAAATCCGAGAGACCACAAAGAGCCAGCTCCGATGCAAACACACGAGGGTGTTTATTCCGGCTCGAGTCTGGGCTCATGTTTGAAGCCGACACAGTGACTTCAGGGATGAGAGCCCCGACCCAGACTAACACACACCTTTTATACATAATTCTGAAGGGGTGGGGTGGCTTTACAAACTTGTGCACACAGGATTGGATAAAAACTATGACGCAGTTACAAAGACTCTGATTGGTTGATTCGAGTTCAATTTGCGCGGGCTCAGGCTTAGTTACTTGTGATGGACAAGTAACTGCCAAATGGGTGGAAGGGAATATCAGATAAGCTAGGTTTACACACTCACTGTGTGTAAATTAACTTTGGCATGGGAGCCGGAGGTTCGAACCAACATAGAGCCCACCAGGAGAGTGGCTAGCGCCTCAGAGTCTACTGCAATCTAAGCAAAGGAATGTCTGGGAGGGGCTTATTGCTTAACATTCACACACTGCTAGCAGTAGTTGCAGAAGCAAAAGAAGCCAGCATGGCGATTGGAACAAACAAAAGCTGAACGCTTGTTTTACAGCAAGTATAGTTCTTTTTTTTTAATCTCTGGGGTCTCTCAGTGTCTGGCTTATTGCACTGCACATAATGTCCTCAAGATTCAGCAATGTCGTAGTATGTGTCAGACTTTCCTTCCCTGCTAAGAAGGGATAATATTTCACTGTGAATCTTTCTTTTAAAAACAGCACTTTGGGAGGCCAAGGCAAGTGGATTGCCTGAGCCCGCGGGTTCGAGACCAGCCCAGGCAATTTGGCAAGACCTCATCTCTACAATAAATCAAAAACAAGCTGGGTGTGGTAGCGCACGCCTGTAGTTCCGGCTGCTTGGAAGGCAGAGAAGTAAGGATTGCTGGAGCCCAGCAGGTTGATGCTGGGGTGGTTGTGAGCATGCCACTGCACTCCAGCCTGGGTGATGGAGTGAGACTCCAACTCAAAAATAAAATAAAATAAAATAAAAATAAAAATAGGCTCAGGTTGGGTGCAGTAGCTCACGCCTGTAATCCGAGCTCTTTGGGAGGCTGAGGTGGGAGGATTGTTTCAGTCCAGGAGTTGGAGACTAGCCTGGGCTACATAGCAAGACCTCATCTCTACAAAACATCAAAAAATTGGCCATGGTGTGCGCCTGTTGTCCCAGCTACTCAGGAGGCTGGGGGGAAGGATAGCCAGAGCCCAGGAAGTGGGGGCTGCGGTGAGCCGTGATTGTGCCACTGCCCTCCAGCCTGGGTGACAGAGTGAGACCCCCAACTCAAAAAGAAAAATAAAGAACACAGCACAGCTGCACACCAGGCTTTTTGTGAAAACTTTATACATATGAACTCACTCAACCCTATACAGCCAACCTATCTTTGATCTTCCCCATTTTCCAGGTAAGGAAACTGAGGCTCAGAGACACCAAGCCGCCTGCCCAAGATCACCCAGGAACGCCAGGACTCAGATATGGGTCTGACTCAGTCCTGCTCCTGACACCTCCGTCATCCATGTTGACATTGGCAGGGGTAAGGGGAGGGGCTATGGAACCAGGCAGCCCACCCAGACATGACCTTCTGAACTTCCAAGTGCCCCCACCCCCTGTACTCCCTCTGGAGAGCTGTTCCTTTGGGACCCCAGGGGGACAGTTCCCCACACGCCTCCCCTAACGCATCTCGATACCAGATGACTCGGGGTGGGGGGACCCCAGACGCTTCACATGTCAGCACGGTCTCTTCTCCAGCAGCCGCCAGCACCACGGCGCTCATGGCAGAGACCGACGGTGAGCCTGTGGGGGGAAGACACGGAAAACTGGGGGCCAGCCCTCGACGGCCTAGCCTGAGGCCGTCCACAACTCGGGGAGACCCCCTCCCCACCTTGCCCCTGGCCGAGTTCACTCCCACCTCCGGGCCTCTGCCCTCTCCCGTCCCTCTGCCTGGGACCCTGTTCCCACAGGTGACTCTACGGCCAGGGTCACCTCCACAGAGAGGCCTTGGCCAGGTCCTGGGCGTGGCAGCCACTTCCCCCACACGCCCCTGCTCTGTGATCACGGCAGCTTCACCACAAAATGCATCCCATGGCACTGTGTGTTTGCTGCCTGTTCATTAGAATAGGACAGACAGGGACGCCATGTTCACTGCTGTACCCCAGTGCGTGGCACACAGGAGGGGCTCAACGGATCCTGATACGAGCAGGAGGGGAGGGAGGAGGTTCCCCTCCTGGGACATGCAACCCCATACCTGTGTAGTAGAGGGTGACCATCTCCTGATCTGTGCCAACCTCATTCACGGCCTGGCAGCTGTAATTCCCAGCATCCTCCGGGGCGACCCCTGGAATGATTAGGGTCCCCTGGACATCTACGTGGATTCTGGAGTCAGGCCATAAAAACATGTTGTGTCACACAGGCATTGTTGCCTGGCCATCACAAAGAGCAGATTAATTAACAACGCTGCTAGCCACAGTCTTTCTGCACTGGCCACCTGCTCTAGGCTGGGCTGTGTGCTAAGCACTTCGTGTAAGTTGTCCTTTTCTTTTTTTCTTTTTGAATCAGGGTCTCCCTCTTGTCGCCCAGGCTGGAGTGCAGCAGCACAATCACAGCTCACTGCAGCCTCGACCTTCTGGACTCAGGCAATCTTCCTGCTTCAGCCTCCCAAGTAGCTAGGACTACAGACACGTGCCACCACACCCAGCTAATTTTTTAAATTTTTGTAGAGATGAGGTCTTGCTATGTTGCCCAAGCTGGTCTCAAACTCCTGGGCTCAAACCATCCTCCTGCCTCAGCCTCCCAAAGTGCTGGGATGACAGGCATGAGCCACCACCTGGCCAGTTGTCCTTTTTTAATTCACGAGGCTCAGAGAGGTAGATGACTTGCCTAGGTCACATGGCCTGCATGCCAGAGGCAGGACCTGAGCACAAGTCTACAGATTCTGGAGCCTGAGCTCCTGACCCCTGAGCCCACGTTGTGGCCCTGTTAAGTTTCCAAAGCGAGCTTTGGCTGGGTACAGTGGCTCACCCCTGTAATCCCACCACTCTGGGAGGCCAAGGAAGGAAGATCACTTGAGGCCAGGAGTCTGAGACCAGTCTGGGAAACACAGCGAGACCTCGTCCTTACAAAAATAAAAACATTAGCCAGGTGTGTTGGCTCCACCTATAGTCCCAGCTACTCATGAGGCCAAGGTGGAAGGATGGCCTAAGCCCAGGAGGTAGAGGCTGTGGTAAGTCACGATCGTGCCACTGCACTCCAGCCTGGGCAACACAGTGAGACTCCGGCTCAAGACAAACAAAACAAAGAGATCTTACCCAAATCTCCAATGACCCGGGAGCACGGCAGGCAAATGCTACCCGCCGTTTACAGGTGAAGGCCGAGGCCCAGGGAGATCCCTGGGAGTCCCTGTCCACCTGCCGCCAGTCCCCAAGCTCTGTGTCCCGAGCCCCTCACCTGCTGTCCTCTTGCAGCGCGTGGCCGTCACGGCTCCCGGAGATGTGGGGCGTGGGGTACTCCGAGGCTGTGCAGCTGACCTTCACCTCCACGCCCTGGGAGAAGCGCTGGGACCCAGTGTGGATGCTGACCTGCAGGGGCTCTGTGGCCTGTGGTGGACGGGCAGGGAAGAGCCTGTCAGAACAGCCGTGCCAGGGGCCCTGCTCCAGCTCCTTCCCCTCCTACAGGCACAGACGGGTGAGACAAGAAAGCAAAGGGCCCTG